TAAACAAATATGTATTTCACATTGGTGATACTCTAATATATAACTGTTTACAAGGTTACAATCACAATGTTAACTACCACAATGTTAACTACACATTTTATCACTAACAGACATGTTTCAATACTTTCGTCGTTAAGTTCATCATACATTGAGTTAATTTTATCAAAAACTGGTACTTTAATCGTGCACATGCATCCTCTCATTCATTAATAAATGTTATCGCGAGCTAACACTAACAAAGGAATGTCATTGCACTTCTCAGAAGTACATAAGATTCTCAAAAGTAACCTTTAAAGCACCAAATGCTGCATGATCTATGTCGTAATAGAAATTGAAGGAATTATTAAAAATGCACCTTTAAACACATTTTTGATATTCACTCATTTAATTTAACATGAAGTTTCTGGTTTACCGAACGCAAAGATTTTCATAGATACAATGAATGAACTAGGTGAGGGTTGAGCGCTCACCAATATGTTTAACACAACTATATTCTGTATGTTCCTATCACAAGTCTTTCATTCCGCGGTTGTGGTTGGTTGATATCTGGGTAAATATGCGCAATTCATTACAAGTAGGCGGTAATGGTAGCCTTTTCCTCAATCCTCTGCCTATATCGTTAACTTGAATATGTATTATGGCTCGTTTCGAAGCTGAGACATTTTTGTCATATGTGGTTAAATTGTCGGCGTACGAAGTTAGATTCATTTTTCAGTAAACATGGTAAATCAACACACCCCGAAAAGCCTTTTGTGATGCAGCTTTTCGAGGTAAAAAATCCTTTTTTTTCACACGATAGGTTCTTTGAAAATTAAGTTCTTTGCATACATTTAATAACTCCATTTTTTTTTACATCTTTATTCTATGGTCCTTTGCTCTCCAGATCAACACAAATGGTTAAGCTTAGTCACTTGCTAAAAATTAAAACATGTCCAATATCACTGCTCAGAGATTTTTTGTTATCGCACTAATTTTGTGTTCCTCACTTTGAGAATATGATAGATGTTGTTTTAGCCTAAGCGTTTAAACATCATTTTTCATGCAAAGACCATAAAGTGAAGATTGACAGAAAAACTCATGCTAAAATAGAAATCGAAGATAGCATATAGAATAACCTAGCCTCCAAAGAGAGGTAAAGATACCAAAGGGGCATTCAAACTCATTAGTAGAAAATAATCTGACAACGCCATGGCTAAAAAAGAAAAAGACCAACAGACAAATAACAGTACACAAAACACAACATAGAAAAATAAAGACTGAGCATAGTTTCGAGTTTTGTCTTATGTGTCTGCATTAAGGCTTTAGAATTTAGTAGCGCGAAATTTCAAAAATTGCCAAAATAGTCGCATTTCGAAATCACATGATTTTAATATTTAGATATGAACACAGGCTTTACCCAGAGGAGAAACGACAGTTTAGGTGCTTAGCGCAAAACCTTTTAAATGACGGTATGCGTGAATATAATACAAACAGCCCCTATTTTACCATTTTTTTAATATCATTTCAAAGACATAGTATGTATCCATCAATGGTAAATTTTGTTCAACAATGCTTTTTTTTTTTTAACTTTGTTAACATTGTCGTTAAAGCAACCTGATGGGCTGAACATTTTTGTTCAAAAGATATTTTGAGGCATTAAGTCGGAGTGTTTTACAATGTTTTATATACTATTTAATTAGTTTTTCAGATTTCACTTTCTTATTTAAAATGATTTGCATACTTTGATAGAAAAAGAAAAAGGGGAGTTCACCATACATCATTTAAAAACCCCAATGAAAATAAAGTATTTTTGCTTTCAAATTGTGCTGTTATATGCCACAATTATATTGAATCTCGTTTGAAATACCCAGAAATATTGGTTTTACATTTTTTTTTGAATGTTTTGGAAGCATGAAATACCTTTAAAGGGTACAAATTTCAAATACAAATATAAGACATTTTAAACATCGAGAACATATCAATATATTTTTTTTGACTACAGAAAAATTTATCATCCAGGTCGTATTATTAATTAAATTTTTTGTTTCATTATTTTGGATACACGTCTTGCAGCAAATTCAGGACGGGAACATGTTTAAAATCTGATAGACTTGATTTATTTTTTACAAAACTATGTAATATAGCTATACTTAACTTTTTCTAAACATCTATATTATTTATGTAATACAAGGAAAATCGACATGTGATCAAGTTCCGTGCGAAATAAGAAAAATTACAAATAGCTATTCCTTTATTTGTTACCATTTAATACATCCAATATGGATAATTATATAATATATAATTGGGCACTTTGCATACATTTGCAGGTGAACAAGAATATCAAAGAACACTTTTCTCTTAGGAATTTGAACAATTATGTCGACCGATATGAATGATTTTTGGTCAATTTTTAAAAAATTGACGAAGTAATGCCGCCACAAAAATCAAATTAGTGGTCTTCTCATTCCGAAAACTATCATAAGTGTCGGAATTTCTGTTTTCACATATTAAATAGTTTTCTTAAGCTAGGAACATTTTTCATCTTTGTATGATGTTTGGAATTTACGATGTTCTAAATTTAGCGGTAAACAAGAACGTTCATGCAAAACGTTGAGAAATTATTTAACTGACAATCGATATGAATTATACCAATTTGCATTTCAATATAATACATAAAGGGATACAATATAAATAAGAAGATGTGGTTTGAGTGCCAATGAGACAACTCTCCATCGGTCAAAGTACGGCCTTCAACACGGAGCCTTGGCTTTAACCGAACAGCAAGCTATAAAGGGCCCCAAAATGACTAGTGTAAAACAATTCAAAAAGGAAAACCAACGGTCTAATCTATATAAAAAACGAGAAACGAGAAACACCTATGAACCACACCAACAAACGACAACCACTGAACAACAGGCTCCTGACATAAGACAGGTGCATAAAAATGCAGCGAGTTTAAACGTTTTAACCAACATTCACCCTAACCTGAGACAGTAGTGTAACATAACAACATAAAAAGACACACTATTAAATATCAATTGAAATGGCTTAACTCGATCAAAAAGACATTTAAACAAAAACAAGTAAACATACACTGAACACATAAGTTTGATCTCTTACACAATATAAATATAATATTAAAATGTAGGTGCCTATACATGTTTTATTGTCGTTTAAAACACTTCAGCACCAAGGAATCCATAAATCTGTTATGTTTATGGCCTATTATCTATTTTATATTTTATATGGATATTTTACTTACATGATTATATTTAAACTTATACTTTGATCATTGTATTGTGTTTCTTTTTTTATAAATTTTCAAATCGATTCAAATATTATTGCCATCAAAGTATTTTCGACACACAAATGTTGTAGGACACACATATATAGATTCTTACATTACTACCCGTGTATAATCGAACTTATCCAATCGATTTAGTAAATGTATTGAATTTTAAAGTTCGAGCCTTGAATCTGTTTCTCTTATGATTATCAAATAAATTTTCATTTTTGATAAACGGAAATCCTCTTCGAGTGCCTTCTTCATTCCTGATTTCTACGTCACACACTTACGAAATTGATGCACACAGACTGCATGTATGCCTCCCTTGATCAAATGGAGTAAACACTAATAAAAGACCACTTTTAATAGAAACATTGCATTTCATGAAATATGTATTCACATGTTATAGTAAACAACTTGGCAACAGTTTCTGAAGGTCAAATCATTCCCGCGTAGTAAAAGTTTTCATAAAGCTGTTATTTTCGCTAACATTTGTTCGCACATTTCGATTCATCCAAAGAGGTTATAGCTTATAAAGGTTGTGATATTTTAACTTAGCTAATCATCTACTGTGATCATCTGCAACCACACGTTGATTAGATATGTTAATACAATGTGTCCAGAAGGGGCTAGATTGCCATATAGTTAGAGAAATGCATGTACATATACGAAATGAGAGAAGATACCAAGGAGGCATTCAAAAATCAAAAAGTCAAATACAAACAGACATACATTGCCATATAAGCGGGAGGTTTGGTTAGCCATGAAACTAGGTTCAAACCGCCATTTTTTCTTAAAATGTCCTGTACCAAGTCAGGAATATGGCAGTTGTTATTAAATAGTTCGTTCCTATGTGTGTTGGCCTTTGTTTTTGTTGCAGTTCAATGTCTCTGTTGTTCCGTTGTTTTCCTCTTATAGTTGATGTGTTTCCCTCGGTTTTAGTTTGTAACCCGGATTTGTTTTCTCTTAATCGATTTATGAATTTTGAACAGCGGTATACTACTGTTTCCTTTATTCATATACCATGGTTAAAACTTAAAACGACGAAGGACAAACAACAAAATCAAATGTAACATATTAATTTAACTAAAAAGCCAGTAAAATGGTTTCGGACACACCACATATTTAAAGTGTTATTTTTTATTTTCTAGTGTTTTATATTTATTGCTACTATTGAATTGTTAGTTCACAACGGCATCATTAGCACAGTGGTCAGTGACTTGGTACTGATAAGATTTAGATCGTTATGAACGTGCCTTTCAAAATCCTCTTTGATCAATCCACAAATTATAAAAAAAACATTTTTTTTTATCCCATTTAGCCACATATCTGTTAACGCTTTCAGGTACCTTTATATACTTTACTTTCAAATGTTTTGGTTAGAGCGTTCCCGATGTAAAGCTTTGTAAAGATTTTTAATGCACATTATCATAAAGTCTTATTCTCATGTTTAAGAACGGGTTGTAGATACGTAACTCTTATCCTTACGGTTAATATATGCTTTCACTTTCCGATCGGATAAGTTTAATTTAGAGCAAGTTTTTAAATTCTGATAACGTCAGGTTATGTATTTTATACTTTTTATAATTATTGACATAAAACTGTAAGTAAAAGTCTGACCTTTACTTGATTTGTTTTCATAAATACAGGTGAAGTTTTATTTACAAGTATTGTAACAGTTGTGGTTTAATGTAGATTTAACAAAACAAGAATCAGAAAACAGTAAATATATTACCTTTCTCTTCCTGTATTCCTGTAATGGATTGTTAGAATTAACCTATGCAACTGTTTATAACTTCCTTATAAAAATGAGAAGATATAGTATGATTGACAATGAGACAACTCTCCACAAAAAACCATATGACGTAGAAGTTAGCAATTATAGGTCAACGCCAGATCTTCACTAATGAATTGTTAACTCCCTTGTCAAGATTTATGGATTATGTGATTAGATATTTCGTTTCTGAACAATTACAAATTAACAATCGGGAATACGTTCCATTGCAACTGGAAATTACAATTGTATTGCAGAGAGTGGGAGATGCTTTTAACACCTGTAATATAATATCCTGTAACATTACAATAAAATAGAGACTAGGTTTACCCGAATGCAGTGATAAATATTTCGTTTTTCCGTCCTTCATTTAAGATTTTGTCTCTGATTGTCAAACAGGCAGAATGTTAACGTAATGATATGGTTTTAAGACGTACAAATACGGAATCATAATGAAATGCAATATTTATTGTAAAATTTCTATTTTAAGGGAGCAGTTTTGATTGGAAGGTAGCTACAGAATTTTTTATTTTTGTAATAAGCTAATTCAATTCACAAATATAAACTTAATTGGAATAACATACTGGTTTTAGGAATTTAAACTTTATTATACCTTGAGTGCATGGTGCATTAGCATTAAATATATAAAAGAAAGAAAAATAAAACAATTAGCAATTTGACCCAGAATGTCTTGTTAAGTTTCCCGATTTACATGATTTGTTTTGAACAGTCCTTGGCAATCTGTTGACTGCAATGTATAACAATGTATCAGTGTCTCATCGTACAAACCGTCTTAGATCATTAGATACAAGAATATGCATTCAATATGTATATTCAGAGGTTATATCCTATTCAATTGTGATATGTTGTCTGAGTTTTGATTTGCATGCTGGTAGATAAATGCATAGTAGGAGAAGTTTATCTTGTCGACGCACAAGCTTCGCTCCGTTTTGAGCGCGCAGTTCCACCAGTTTAGTTGTTTGCCTTGATTTGTCTATGCTGTACGGAATAAGATGAATATAGGTAAACTATAGTTGCCTCACATTTATTTTATGTTTACCATGTCTACATGACAATTCTCAAAAATAGATAAATAAAAAAAAAAAATTATTAGAACAATATATCAAGACAACAGAATAGTTATTCGAGGGAAAATATGTATCGCTAGAAAAAGATTACTGTTACGTATGAGAACTTCAGGTGCTCATTGTTAGGAAGCTATATTTTGATAGAAAAGAATTATAAGCATTAATCCTTCGTCTGTTAATTTGTAATTGTTCAGAAACGAAATATCTAATCACTCACGAAGACGCGGTAAGCTGAAATTATTTATATAATTATTATAACAATATCATGTGCTTTAGAGTGTTATTAATTCATTTAAACCTGATAGGTCGTTTAAAAGAAGAGGTATTTTATTTATCTTCTAAAAGTATTGCACCTATTCTAATCGAATACGCCTAAAGAATGCTGTATATCTTAAAAGACTACTAGTATATTCTTCGAGCCTTTATCGTGTATAAGGGGGAAAACGAAAGTTAAAAGACCCGTACAATTTATACCATCAACAAGCATGTGCCAAACTATATTTTGCAATTACCTTTCTTATATGCAATGAACATATCTGTTCTACAGTTTAAAGGAATCTTTGGCATATGTCTGTGGAGGATAAAAATAAATGTATATCACGAAGTTTTGAGTGCCATTTAAAAAATCATAGGCGTTAAACGCGGCATAGAATGTATTTTTTGTCGAAAAGATTAATACATGTGTAATGCTTTAAATTACACCTTATCGACAGGTTAAGATATCGTCCTAGGTATAAATATTCACTGTTTGTACTGTTGTATTGATTTTTTTCCTAACATGTATATTGTCTTTTGTTGCTGCTTCGTCGACTCTTACTCCACATTACGCATTACTCTCCTTTACGATAAGAATCGAATGACGTGCTTCTGGTAAACATATTCAATGTTTTAAAGTCTTTGTTATACGCCTATATAATAATTGTCTATCCCTTTCAGTCATTCTGATGTATCTACCAACATACAACATGTCAAAGTAATATCAATTAACTACAGGTTTATACATTAAATTGGTTTTTTAATAACTCATAAGCTGTATCTTGGACGTGTTTATCTCCTTCGCAGAGCCTTTCCTTATTGTATATGGTGATATTCAAAATTAACTACGGTAAATCGTCTAGCTTAGGACAACGTTCAGGTCACTATTAATAACGTGGTCAGTCAAGTTATTTATGAATTGGGGACTAGCAGTCAGGAGGTTTATACTTTTTAGTCGTCAACATTGAGATTTTGCAACACGTGTTTGTAATTGGAAATCTCATTAACAGTATGTTTGGTAGAGATAAAAGAGACGTAGGGGTAAGACTTATATTTAAGACAAAGACATATTTTCGAATAAACTGATGTATGATGAATAATATTGCCTTAGTTGATGAAAGAAAAAACCTTTTCGCCGTTTTATCATTTCAAATGCGAACCTGTATAAACAGTCTTTGACCGGCAATATTCAGGAAAATAACTGTAAAAAAGTATAACAAAAATACCGAACTCCAAGGCAAATTCAGGAAGGGGAAGTCCATAAAAACTGACAAAAATCTAACGATATCAACTAACGGAACAAGCGAAAAACAACTGCCATATTTCTGACTTGGTACAGGCAGTTTCAGATGAAAATGACAGGTTAATCCTGGTTTAATAGCTAGGTAAACATCCTGCTTGTAAGGTTGTATTGGTTTAAATGGACATTTTTTTAACATTGGTTTATGAACATAAGTTGTACAGAAAATGAAGTTTTGACTGGAGTAGTGAATAATACAACGTGCAGATACGTTGAATGACCAATGGCTTCTGAATAAATGGCAGAAAGTCATTAATTAAGACATCGTGCATGGAGAGAAATGACGTTTAATGACGGTGACATTGGCTGCTGCTACATCGAGGACCGCAGCAGAGTTTAAAGTAACAAAAACCGTACTCGAGCTACAGGAATGACTAGATTCAATATTTTTACCAAACATTCTGTCGTTGCAACCATGTGGTATCGCAGTTCCCAATTATGTAAACCATTAGTGTTCCTATATTCTATGGGGAGGGTTGCAAGAGGAGAATTATCAGTTTTATGGTATTTTTATATCGATGATGCGAACTCGCATAGGAAGGAATGAATAATTAAACCGATTAAAAGGTTGATAAACCATGTCATTTGCATTTTTACTTACGTCTAATCTATGGCTGGAAATACGTTAACTCAGCGTTTCACTGAAAAAGTAAAATAACAAAAATACCGAACTCCAAGGAAAATTCAAAACGGAAAGTCCCTTATCAAATGGCAAAATCAAAGCACAAACACATCAAACGAATGGAAAACAACTGTCATACTCCTGACTTGGTATAGGCATTTCCTTATGTAGAAAATGGTGAATTAAACCTGAATTTATAGCTAGCTAAATCTCACTTATATGACAGTCGCATAGAACTCCATTATATTGACAACACTGTGTGAACAATACAAATAGACATAATAGGTAAAATGTCAAAAAAAAAGGGTACAGCAGTCAAAATTGTGTTATAATCTTAATCACTATAAAAACTAAATATGTTGACAAAGAAAAACAAACAGGCATATAGACATAGCACAACAGCATAACTGAAAGACAAAAATACAAAAATGACCACAGAATAACTGAAAGACAAAAATACAAAAATGACCACAGCACAACAACACATTGGCGGGATGCATAAATACCGAGCCACGCCAAAAGGATATTACCAAAAAAGGACTAAACAGATAAGGTCAGTAATTTACAAAGACAAATAAAAGAACACTATAACACGTAATAAAGATGATAAACAACGCCAGTACCTCGTATCTATAATTCAAGTCCATCATGTATTATTTGTGAAGTTGATACGGAATATTTATCAACAAGGTCTTGGTATCTTCCGATGAACATTTTTTTTAGAAAAATGACGAGACATTCTTTGACATAACCTTGGTTCATCAACTTTCTGCCCAGACACTGGTGACGTTTTATAAAGTCTAGATAGCAGCTCTTGAATACCGAATGAGTTGCCAAATGTATATCCCATTTGCAGATGAAGATGGTATATTGCTACTTAGGTGGGGGAAATTGAAAATTTAAAAATTAAAATCGTCTCGTTTGTCATCTACCACAATGTTAGGATTATAACATTTAGCGATTTTTTAAATTATCATATAAATTAAGTTTTAATAATGATGTTTTTGTTTATTTTACAGGTATATTTCAGTAACATTATATTTTAGCTAATGCCTATCACAAAGCACTTTACAAGATTTGACATATTAACAGGATCTGCCTACCTTCCAGAGCACCTTGGATCATCCACGGTTTTTTTTGTGGGGTTCGGTTGCTCAGTCTTAAGTTTTCTATGTTATGTTTTGCGTAAAGTTGTTTGTCTATCTGTCGTTTTTCGTTTTTTGCCATGGCATAGTCCGCTAGTTTTCGACTTATGAATTTGAATATCCATTTGGTATCCTTTGCTTCTTTTTGGTATACATGTAGCAAATGTATTTTAGAAAAAAATAGTAATTCATTATCTAGTAAAAATATACCTCTGTGTCACTGAGGATATTACTTGTCAAGTCGCGTGCACTATTCAGCGAAAGGTGGCAGACAGTTCAATTTGAGGATGGATAATATTACATGATTTATATTATACGTATGTTATGAATTCTAATTTTATACAATTGGTTTCAATTATTTGTATTTTTCAAGATTTATATGCAATACTCGAGTGGAAATCACAAAAGGGGGAGGCGGTGCAAGTATAGCAGAAGACGCTTACCCTGTTGACGCACATGATTTCACTCTTTCTGGAGTTCATGTGATTTCCTTAGATTATGTGTATTACCTTGATCTGTCTTTTTTTAATCGATTTACGAGATTTGAACATCGATAAAGCACTGTCGCCTAAATTTAATGGTTTTTGTTTTCTATGTTTGAATATAAAATATCTACATTACTAAATCAATTCCATTTATTTACCTTATTTTTCGAAGATTTTTAACGACAAAGCAAACAATCTTTCAATTTTATATCGAACACATTATTTCATATATTACATAAATAATT